ATATCCATTATTAATAATAATAATGATAATAAACTCACTCCATTTAAATTTTACTTCTATTTCTATATTCTGTACTAGTCACAATTTTCTGGAAAATGTTGACTGTTGAAGAGAGAGAGAAAAACATAACCAGTGTAACTGCGATACAAAGGAAGTAAGACAGCAGTTACATTATCCGTATTCACTTCTCCCTTCAACAATGACATTTTCCACATATTAGCATGCTACTGCCAATAGCATATATACTATATATCATAAGTATCACACTAAGATAAAACTGAATACCATTTCTTAGAATGGCTTATTGTTAGTTGTTTAGAAAATTTGGCAAATTTTTCCCCGCAATTTTCAACACGGCAACATTGGCAAAACTGACTGGTTAAAACGTGCAGAGGACTGTGAAAAACTAATTTGTCAGGTTTTAGTACGCTGTTAAATCTATGCGTTTTGACATGCAAAAGCAATTCAAGAAATACAAAGAAAGTTATTAGAAATGGATAAACAAACGCTAAAATGCTTGGCAAAAGAAACATAATACATGCAGTGTAATCGTTTGTATAGTAGATTTCAGAATTCTTTGTTGTTTCAGCTTTATCACTCTTATCAAACTTCTTATAATAATGAATAGGTATTTTGAACCTTCTCTGTTGGATGTGAAACAGAGTCTGCGAGATTTCTTCGCCAGTCTCATCTTCTACGGTGTAATTGATGATTTCTCCATTATCAAGCATTGGATATAATATTTCTGTTAATGTCTCTCCTGTTTCATGGTCCATTGCTTTAGACAAAAAATGCTTTTTCAGTTTAATTAACTATGAATAAATACTATTAAAAATGCTATCTTACATAAGATATACTAAACATTTTACATAAGAATAAATCTAATGAACGTAATAAATAAACCTAACCGAAGGTTGTACGAGGTACGCTACTATACGGTACCCGGGCATTTAGCCACATCGTTTTCAAAAATAAAAACATTTCTTTAAAAAATTAAATTATTTCACGATTATTGTGGCTAGTAATATGTTAACAATAATATTACTTAAAATAAAATAATTTAGAAAAATTATTCATGAACGACATTTTTTTTATCGATATTAATTATTGCAACATGTTGAAGATTTTCTGTGATTAAAAATAAGTAAATGGCGATGTTTACCGAAAACAATAAAGACAAAAAGGACTCACCTAGTTTAATTATTTTAAGTAACAATTAGGGGAGATACATTAAACAGAAGATTTAGTTTTAAAGTAATACAAACAACCTGCTTATTTATTAAATGAGATAGACTGAGATAGAAGATCATAATTCACAATTTTATTTGTTTTAATTATATACTAATTATTAGTATACCATGACTGTACCCCTCTTGATTCCTATTTGACATGCGTTAAGAAGCAGTGATTAAACACAAACGCAAAAAAAGAGAATTACGGAATCGCAAAATTGAAACAATGCAGTATATATATTTAATATCTACATAGTACATTCAAGTATTTTCACGAATAAAGTTTAAGCAGAATCTCCTACATCTAAACAAATATTTATTTCAATTAAAACGTATCAACTTTTTTTCTGTTTAAATGAACTGGCGGTTTTACGGAGTTTCCACAGTCGCACTTTTTTCCTGTTATAAAGTCAAACGTTCCAATTCTGGTATTACAATTATAACAGAAAATTTTTCCTTTTGACCAGTTACTAATGTTGATAGATTCTTTTATCCATTCTGGCAAGTTTTCATATTTCAAAAAAATTAAATTATCCATATCACAACAGATGGGTTTTGAACTTATCAATAACTCACATTCATTAAACAACGATTTTCTACATTTTCCACATTTTATGCCCATATACATTGCTTTTGTAATAAACTACAGTAAATAGAGTAATTAAAAACCGGCAATGTACTATAAAAATAATGTGGTTACAACTTATCGAAAAATGTTTTCATATACTTTCATACATACCAAAATGTGAGGTTCGTGAGGTTATAGCACATTATAAAATAAACATAAATATGTTAGGTTAGGTTTATGTGCCGAAGAAAGTAATTATTATGCTCTTATCATAAATTAATTTTGTATTAAGTTCAATTAAGTTATACACCTTAAGATAATTTCACAAAGATGAGGTAAGTTAGAAATGTTTGTCTTGAATTGAAGAATTAATGTTTGATTTAATTGCTTGTGCTACAACCTGTATCTAATTATAGGTTGAGTGTGGATGGTTTAATTGTTTATTTTCCATATGAATACATATATCCAGAGCAGTATTCATACATGTGCGAATTAAAAAGGGCTCTAGATGCTAAAGTAAGTGCACAGTGTAAAAAGAAGTATGTCAATAAAAATGGCAATTTTAGGGACACTGCTTATTGGAAATGCCCTCAGGGACTGGTAAAACTACAACATTGCTTTCTTTAGTTGTAGCTTACATGTTGGAACATCCTCATGATGTTAGAAAGCTTATTTACTGTTCTCGTACTGTGCCAGAAATAGAAAAAGTTATTGAAGAATTGAAAAAGCTTTTTGAATACTATGAAAAACTAGACTCTATTTATCCAAGGCTGATTGGCCTTGTGTTGAGTTCAAGAAAGAATATGTGTGTGCATCCACAGGTTGGTAAATTCATTTATATCCCAAAAAATAATTATGAACTATCAACCTAATGTGGATGTAGATTACATAATAAATTATCAAAATAGACCTTTAGTTTTCCTTACAGAATTTTATAGTGTTTGATGGTTTTAAATTGCGTAGGTGAGTAAGGAAAGAGAAGGAAAAATTGTAGATAGCAAGTGTCATGCACTAACAGCAAGTTATGTTCGTGAAAGACACAACTATGATGAGACTACCCCGATTTGTCAGTATTATGAGGGTTTTGATATGGATGGAAAAGAAAATAATATTCCCTATGGAGTATACAGCATTGATGATCTTAAGCAGTATGGCAAGGACAGAAATTGGTGCCCTTATTTTTTAGCAAGATTTGCTGTAAGTTAAGTTTTCATGAAATGACAATTTGAATTGATTTCCTATTTATTTTACAGATAATTCATGCTAATATTGTTGTATACAGTTACCACTATTTACTCGATCCAAAAATTGCTGATGTTGTTTCCAAAGAACTTTGTAAAGAAGCAGTTGTGATTTTTGATGAAGCTCACAATATTGACAATGTTTGTATAGATTCTATGAGTGTAAAAATTAATCGACGAATAATAGAAGGTTCCACTGCAAACCTTGGACTTTTAGAAAAAACTGTTGCTGAGTAAGACTGTAAAACTTATTAACTAATTTTTACTTAATATCTTATTTTCAAAGGATGCGGGAAGATGATGTTAAAAGGTTACAAGAAGAGTATCAAAGACTTGTAGATGGCTTGAGAGATGCCAGTGTAGCACGAGAAACTGATGTGATATTAGCTAATCCGATTTTACCCGATGAAATACTAAGTGGTAAATTCTAATTTAAGTTTAGTCTTCTTTTCGTTTTTGTCTTACGAAGTTTATGGAAACTTCTGTCCCAATTTTTCTGACAAAATTCAACCCCCTATAACTGAAAAATTATATTTAATCTTCTACAAACGTTGAGACCTTTAAAAGCACAGTAACTCCATTCTAAAGAGAATTCCAAGAGATTTTTTGCCAGTGTTCTAGTGTCAGAAACGCCTATAAAAAGAAGGAATTTAATTTGAATTTTATAATTTATAAAATTCATTTTTTAAACACCTGTCACTAAAAATCTTAATTGTATTTTGCATGTTATTGATTATAACTTTCTCTTTTTGCAAGACAATTATTTTTGTGAGAATAAAGTATCCTTAATTGCTATCTTATTTATTTCAGACGTTGTTCCTGGTAACATTCGAAACGCGGAACATTTCTTAAGTTTTCTCAGGCGATTCGTTGAGTATTTAAAGACTCGTCTTCGAGTGCAACACGTTGTCCAAGAATCACCAGCTGCATTTTTGAAAGACGTTCAACTTAAAGTCTGTATAGAACGTAAACCGTTGAGATTTTGTGCTGAACGTTTAGCATCCCTTTTGAAAACGTTGGAAATTTCAGACTTGACAAATTTCGGTCCTTTAGTGCTCGTTACTCACTTAGCAACCCTTGTTTCAACTTACACAAAGGGTTTTACCATAATCGTAGAACCATTCGAAGATAAAGCGCCCACAGTTTCGAACCCCATACTTCATTTTTCGTGAGTATATAAACATATTTGTTACTTACTTTTGTTTGGAAACGAATTTTCATTCTCTTAGTCTCTTCATTATACATTGAGTTAAGCTAGAGAAGCATTTAGATATAGATAAAAATTTTTGAAATAAATTCTTGAATCAAGTTGTGAAAGTTTGCTGCATTCTTCATAACACAAATACGTTTCGATGAAAGAACATTTTCAAACGTTTTCATAGCTAAACACAACATTTTTGATATTAAAACCGGCGAAGTGTTTCAAAACTATGTCTGTGTGGTAATTACCCTTAAAAATTTTGTAATGAATTTATAGCTGCTTGGATTCCTCCATTGCCATAAAACCCGTGTTTGATCGGTTTCAAACAGTTGTAATAACTTCGGGAACGCTGTCACCAATGGATATGTACCCGAAAATTTTGAATTTCCATCCAGTTATTATGTCTTCCTTTACAATGACATTAGCTCGGCCATGTTTACTACCAATGGTACGTAATTATTATTTTATTTTTTTTAATTTTGTTTCCAAGAATTTATTTATAAAAAAGATGTTAATAAATATTTATAAGCACGATTTGCATTATGGCAAACAATTTCAGATAGATTTGTTTTTTAGTTCTTAAAAATATTTTTAGATCGTTTCAAAAGGTAATGATCAGGTGGCAATTTCTTCAAAATTTGAGACTAGAGAAGATATTGCTGTGATAAGAAATTACGGACAACTTCTTGTTGAGGTATTGTAATTATTTTATCTATTAGACTTACGTTTATTTTACTGTTATTCTACTTTAAGGTAGCTGCCAATGTGCCTGATGGTATTGTATGCTTTTTCACATCGTATTTATATTTGGAAGCAGTCGTGGCCAGTTGGTATGATCAAGGGGTGATAGATAGCCTGCAAAGGTACAAACTGCTTTTCATAGAAACACAAGATTCTGCTGAGACAAGTTTTGCATTAATGTACTACATAAAGGTATAAAAAATTAAATTAATAAAAAATATAAAATTTTTTATACATTGAATTCCATTACTCTTTAATTGAAGGCATGTGAATCTGGACGAGGGGCGGTGTTGTTGTCAGTAGCAAGAGGTAAAGTGTCAGAAGGAGTTGATTTTGATCACCATCTCGGTAGAGCGGTACTTATGTTTGGTATTCCGTATGTGTATACTCAATCAAGGAGGCTAAAGGCTCGACTGGATTACTTAAGAGACCAATTTCAGGTACTTTAATTTTTTTAATTTAATTAAAATCCAAAAATAAAATAAATATTCGCTACACATACTCATTTCTATAACACCAATATTCTATCGTGTGTTTACAAATTATATTAAATCATATATCATATTCATAATCATATTAAACGATATTAACCTTACATGTACTAACCGTTATGTTATTATGAATACTATTGGCTGCCTAGACTAGATTGGCTGCTATTGGATATTATCATGATACTATTATTTGAAAATGGCATCTGTAATAACTATGCTCATTTAGCTTAATTGTATTTTCTCTGGAGATTACTTTTTTGCACGCTATTTTATTTTAAAATACATGGACGTGAATGTTAAAATGAATTTAATTTTTGTTAATGTCTTCATGTTGTGCATTCCTTTTTTTAGACTAAAGCATAAATTACGGTTGAAGGAACTGACCGCTCACCAGCATTAATGATGATTTTGAAATGGAAAACGCACCAGGGGGTGTTTCTACCGAATATTTCCGATTTTTACCGAATTTTTACTAATGCAAATGAAGCGCACAATAGTTCTTTGAGAGTATTTTTTTTTAAACATTGTAACAGGCGAAATGGCTGTTAGTTAGGATGGACTGGACTGATCGTGAGACAAAGTCGGTATGTTCTTAAACATTAATGGTTAGCCATGGTAGCTCCTAGCCCGCACTCGTACTACTTGGACAGTATTTCTTACCTTTTCTAATTTGCAGTACATTTCTCCGCAACTTATAACTTGTCTGTCAACATACCTATAAGCATTATAAATTCTTGAAGTAGTGAAACATATTGGAAGAATAAGACGTCTTTTCTTTTCTTTATTTTGTAAATACTATTTTGTNTTTTTTATTAATAAGTGGGGTGTTGTATAATAAGATATTCGTTATTATTAGATCAATTGTCAGGGGTAGGTACCCTTAATATGTATTAGTTTTCAAATTAAGTTTTGAAACAAAACAAAAAATAAGTTGACACAAAATAAAATTAAAATTCGAATAACACATCGAATGTTGAAATCCAGTTTTTGCAGTTTTCTTGTTTGCTTTCAGATTCGTGAAAATGATTTCTTAACTTTTGATGCAATGAGACATGCAGCGCAATGTGTCGGACGAGCCATTAGGGGAAAAACTGATTATGGTATAATGATATTTGCGGATAAACGTTTTGCAAGAGCAGATAAAAGATCCAAGCTCCCTAAATGGATACAGGAACATTTAAAAGATTCTTTATGTAATTTATCAACAGAAGAAGCAATTCAGGTATTTAAATTTGCTGTTATTATATTTTCATTATCTTGTTCTAATGAAAAGTAGAGCACCTGTTTAAAATAAATAACTTTTCAACATTGGGTTTATTTAGGGACAGTTGTCCCATTGAAAATCTGAGTATGTGATGTCTGCAACATAGCAAAAAAGTTTCAAGGTGCTGGAGTACATTTCTTGTACGAGTAGGTGTGCACACATACAAAAACGTTTGAAAAGGAGCAAACAATTAAATTTTAAAAATGACGCAACGCATTGGTATTAAATTAGACATTTTATAAAATAGTTTTAGAAATAAATTCCGAATATTAAAAATTTCTTGTTACAGATATTAAAGCGATGGTTAAGACAAATGGCACAACCGTTTACAAGGGAAGATCAGTTGGGTGTTTCGTTGCTAACGTTGGAGCAACTAGAGAAATTAGAATCGAGCAAGTCTGTAAAACAATCATAATAATTTTTCATACATTTTTGATACACAACCTACTGTTAGATCCTTATTAATAATAAAGTTTAGAAATAAAAACCTTTTCATTCAATTAAAATTTTGGAAATATTAGTGATATGTATTTCACTTGACTAAAGTTGCAGAAGCTGAAATAATATAAAGAAACCGAAACGTAATTGAAAAAAATCTTGAAAATAGAAACAGTTTCTCTTCTTTCTTTCTCTATGCCTCTTAATACAACAGTGCGCCGTGCTGAAAACATCACTTTATTTTTAAAAATATTATAAATAGTTCATAATCTACAATTTCGTTGGAATAATTAGCAAAAAAAATAGAAAATAAATTAATCAATTTTCATACCTAACTTTTGTAACGACTCCCTTAACATTATAAAAGCGATTGATAGGTCCGTAAACAAATCTGTTTGTGTTTCTTTATCACATTTTTCTTTCGTCATTTTTATATCGCCAACTACCTTCTCCGTGGAATCGCAATTTTTTTCTTCATTTAAAAAATCGGTATCAGGTGACGAATAAACTATCCGTTGACTTGTCAAGTTCAAAAGACGTTTCTTTGAAGAAGCTACTTTCATTCTAACGAACGATTGTATGGATGAGATTTGCGAATCCGAAGAATTTGAATTTAAAGGCGTACAACAATTATTATCTTTATGAATCGAATTTTTTATAGCTTTTTTTAAAAGGCTGTTCTGTGGAATTTTCTTGGTAAAACGTTGTGGAGGTGTTTCGTCACCAATAGCAGCATGTCCTTGCGAATTATCCTGTTGATACTTTTGAACAGGCCCAGCAGCAGCTATGGTTTCTTGTATGGGACTAATAACTTTCCTCTTGAGTGTCGAAAGTCGTCGCGAAGGTTTACTTAATACGGATGGATATTTTCTATTTCGATCGGGTGTTTTAGGAATCGAACCAACAGATGGAAAAAATCGCCGCCTTTCTTTGAATACTGATTGCTTTTTAATAAGGACGTCTCCTACTTCATCTACACTTAACAATGGTTGAGATTCGTCGGGATTGCTTGCCAAAGAACGAAGGCCCTAAATAAAAATATAATAATTAACTGCTTTTCATAGAAACACAAG